AAAAAAAAAAAAAAAAAAAAAAAAAAAAAAAAAAACCCACAAGCTTTTCATGTTCAGAGCCTCGACGCCCCCTGCCTGGAGTCTCTGTCCTGCTCTCAAATCCCAAAAGCAAACGTGTCTTTCAAAAATCAGCCTCGGGCTCCCACTCCAGGAGTCCTTCCCCGATTCCTCCTCCCAAGGTGAGAATGATGCTCCCCGCTCTGGGTCCTGCGTACTGCGCCTCCCCCATCTCTACCACCCTGTCTTGCCTCTCTGTTCGCCTGCGGGGGCTGAGTCCTCTCTATTCCCACAGAGCCCCACACAGAGGCAGCTTAGCCAACAGACGCCAAATGGAGGGGTGGCTTCCTCACTGGCCTCTCTGTTTCCACCCCACCCCACTCTAACCCCTTCTCCGTACAACAACTGCAGTCAGCTTCTTAAAGCATCACCCTCGTAATTACCGTCCTCCCAAGGCTCCCTGTCACACCAAGGATAAAAGCCAAAACTCTTGTACAACCTGCTAAGCTATAAGCCAGCGCCTGCCCACCTCTCCAATCTCCTTCCCACCACCAGGGGCCCAGCCCCTCAGGTACTTTTTATTTTTTAAGAGATGGAGTCTTGCTATGATGCCCAGGCTGGAGTGCAGTGGCTATTCACAGGCATGATCATAGCTCACTACAGCCTCCAAGTCCTGGGCTAAACCCATCCTTCTTCTTCAGCCTCCCAAGTAGGTGGATTCCAGGCATGCGCCACCACTCCTGGCCACCCTTCTTTCTGTCCCTGGAGTGTGCCCTGGGCCACTGCACTGGACAAGCTCCTTACCTGAGTGCTCTTCTCTCTGCCATGCCAGTCCTACAGAGCTGGCTCAGTTCCCAATTCAAATGTCACCCCTTGGAGCTGTCTCCCCTGAGGACCCATCTAAACACCACTGCCCCCAGTCCTTCTTTATCCCCCCTCAACCCCTGCTTTAGGTTCCTCCTATCACCATGATCTGGAAACGGCTTATGAGGCCATGTTCTGATGCACCTGTGACCGTGAGGAGGGGACCTATACACAGGGCACCTCTGTGCTCCAGAGCCGGGCATGGAGCTGGGTGTGCACAAGGTGCTCGGTGGGTATGTGTCAAAGGAGGGTCCCAGAGAATGCCCAGGCCCCCCTGACACCTTGCTGTGGCAGAGTCAAGGCTCCTGTGCTGTCCTGGGCCCAGGCAGGGGAGGGAAAGGCTGATTCACACTCCCAAGCCCCCAAGCCCCACGTGCCCTGAGCCCCAACCTGTTCTTGGTCGTGGGCATCTCTGGGGAGCTCTGAGTGGATGAGTTCTCCGACTTGGGCTCCTGGGAGACGTGCCCGCTGTCTGGGGTCTTCTGGCCAGCCGGAGGGCTCTCCCTGCGGGGCACATGGGGGCAGCGGAGGGATTCAGCACTGGGCCTGGCATCGGGCCAGGTGGTGATGGGGGTCATGGTGCCTCCTGTCTCATACCTACACCCCTATCTTCAGGGCCAGCCCTGCAGCGGTCCTGTGGGCTCCCTGGCTAGCCTGGCCAACAATGGGGGTGGCACTAATGGAGCTATACTGGACAGGGACGGGATTCCTCTCAGGTCCTCTTCACAGGAGCAGGTACAGCTGTCCCTATCCTTAGATAAGGAACCCAACCAGGGACACACAGCTAGGACGTGGCAATGCCAGGCTCTGAACCCAGGATTCGCGGCACACTAAGCTCTGGTGGCAGCAAGGACAATGCCTGCTCCCCTACTGGAGCCCTCTCAGGGGACCCGACCCTGGCCTCACATGCAGCGCCCGAGTCCCCACAGCAGCCCCATGCCATTGGCTGTGTTCTCATCCCTTCTCCAGATTGGAACAATAAGGCTCAGAGGAGCTCAGTGACTCACCCAAGGTCACACATCGTTAGCACCAGGGAGATGGACTCATACCCAGGAGCCAGCCTCTGATGTCGGGGACAGCTCTGCTATTGGCCTGGGCTGGCTGCCCTCATGCTGCCCACACTTGTGGACCCCCAGGCCCATCTGTGGCCACCCTGAAAACCAGTCCTAGGCCCTCCTACCTGTGCTGAGGCCTCGGGAAGAGCATGGGTGCTGGCCCCACACGGATCAGGGCTCAGATCCCAGCTCTGCCCATCACTGGCTGTGTGACCTGGGTAAGCCCCTTGACCCCTATGACCTATGGCTTCTTGATCTGCATGTGGCACTTTAGGTGACACGCTGGTCCTGGTGCCTGACATGCAGCAGGGACTTGGCCACACATTTGTCACTGATGGGGACAGAGAGGCAGAGGGGTGGGTACTCCCTTCTGCTTGCTTTGCTTTGCCACTGAACGGGGGTCAGGGGCGAGGCTGCAGGGATCGGGGCACTGTCCCCCCTCACCCACCTCTTCTCCTGCACCTCCTGTATGTTCTCGATGCCAATGGCGCTGCTGCGGCGGGAGCCAAACGGGCCTGCCTTCTTCCTCGTGGGGCTCTTCCCAGGGACAATCAGTGACTGTGGGGAGAGGCCCCAACTCAGTGCCACCTTCCCAGGGAGCCCCAGTGCCCCCCACATCCCTTCTGGGGACCCTGCTGCCCCAGGCCCTGAAGCAGAGTTGGTGAGCAAGAAAGAATGAGAGAAGATGTCCATTCCCAGAGACAGCCCTCCCAGTTTATAGAAAGGTAAACAGGTCCCAGGAGGGCAGGGCCTCTCCCGACCTCACACAGCAGGAATGCACGTCGATATTGGCCCCGGGTTAGGGCAGGGTCCCCAGGGTCTAGGGTGGGAGGAGGCTGAGTCCTCAGAATGGCTACCCCTCCCCGCCCCCCAGGGCTCCCTGGGATCTGCAGTCTAAGGGTGGTGGTGAGAGGGCAGTGTAGCAACCCAAGACCCACCCCATACCAGCTGGGGCCCCTCCCTGGAACCTCCAAATTGGCTGGGGGAGGTTCTGGCCCAGCAGTTGGAAGATTCCCTCAGCTTCTCACACACTGTATTGGGATGCCCAAGGCCCCAGAAGCCTGCCCCCAGCTTCTCTGGAGGCAGGAAGGGGTAGGACCCCCAGGCCAGTTCCTACCCCTGGAACTCCAGTTCCTGGAGGGGAGGGGGAGTCAGGGCAGAGGAGAGGGATGGTGCTCCATGCAGACCGGCGATATTGGGGGACGTGCGGTTGGGCGTAGGGCCTTTGGGTACCGGATCCTGGCAGGGACTGGGCCAGGGTCCCAGGGGCCAAGGCAGGGCCAGAAGCCCCTGGTGAGGGGGCACTGGCTCTGGCACAGGTACCAGGCCCCAAAGCAGGTGCTGAGTGCCATCGGAGCTGCTGCCGCTCCATCCCGCACGCCCTGGGGCCTGTCCCGGGGGCAGGGGGGCAACGTCCCCAATATGGCCTCCGTCCTGAGTACGAGCAGAGAACAGCGCGTGCAGGCAGCCTCCAGAGCTGGCGGCCCCGCGGACGACAACCTCTTCCACGGTTCCTATGCCTATGGCACTGCCCCGGCGTCCGAATCTACTCGCGCTTTTCCCAGGAATAAGCAATGACTGGCAAGCAGCAGAGGGTGGGGGCAGAGAGAGAGAGACAGAGAGAGAGTCAGAGAGCGAGAGAGATGGTGGGCGGGAGACACAGAGAGGAGGAGACACAGAGAAAGGAGGAAGACAGAGAAAAAGGAAGAGAAGGGCGCAGGAAGTAATGGAAGAGGGATAGGGCCGGGGGAAGGGACGGCAAGAAGCACAAGGAGAGACAGAGGACAGGGCAGACAGGGAGAGAGATGGACAGACAGTTACCCAGAGACAGGGACACGTGTGACCCAGCGAGGGCGCATTAGACGGGCACAGAGGGACATACAGAGAGATGAGGATGCAAGGACCCAGAGACAGGCCCAGGGAGGGTCACACACAGAGAAGGAAAGACAGGGGAAGGTGGAAAGGAAAAAGCAAGGGTGATAACAGCGGAAACGGGAAGGAGGAGAGGGAGCAAAAAAAACAGGTGCAAAAAGGAAGGAGAAATGAAGAACCAAAGGGCAGAGAGGCCACAGGAGGAGGAGAGAAGGAAGGAGGGAATGAAAAAAGGAGAGAGGGTGGAATAAAAGGAGGAAACATGGAGAGAGGGAGAGTTGTGAAAAACAAAACAGAAATGGGTCCGGTTACTGCCATGGTGGGTGCTGCTGGCCTTGCCCTGTCCCTGGGGCCCCTCTGTGGCCACCCACAGGAGGCTGGGTCACTCTGGTGGAGAGGAAGGGAGTGGTTGATAAAACTGGGTTGGGGTAAGGTTGGGCCCGCTCCTCGAATGACAGTGGGTTTGGTGACTGCTGGACAGCAGAGGTGGGGGGAATCCCGCCTGCCACACGACATAGCTTCACAGCACTGAGCACAGGGCTTGGCATGCAGTAGACAGTCAATAAAGGATGGATGGATGGATGGATGGTTGGATGGATGATGGATGGGTGGATGGATGATGGATGATGGGTGGATGGATGATGGATGGGTGGATGGATGATGGATGATGGGTGGATGGATGATGGATGGGTGGATGGATGATGGATGATGGGTGGATGGATGATGGATGGGTGGATGGATGATGGATGATGGGTGGATGGATGATGGGATGGGTGGATAGATGATGGATGATGAATGGATGCATGGATGGATGATGGATGGATGGGTGATGGCTGGCTGGATGGATGATGGATGATGGGTGGATGGATGATGGATGGGTGGATAGATGATGGATGATGAATGGATGCATGGATGGATGATGGATGGATGGGTGATGACTGGCTGGATGGATGATGGATGATGGATGGATGGATGATGGATGGATGATGGATGGATTGGTAGATGGATGATGGACGGATGGGTGGATGGCTGGCTGGATGGATGGATGATGGATGATGGAAGGAAGGGTGGATGGATGATGGATGGATGATGGATGGATGGGTGGATGGATGATGGATGGATAGATGATGGATGGGTGGATGGATGATGGATGATGGATGGAAGAGTGGATGGATGATGGATGGATGAAGGATGGATGGGTGGATGGATGATGGATGGATAGATGATGGATGGGTGGATGGATGATGGATGATGGATAGATGATGGATGGATGGACGGGTGGATGGGTGGGGAGCATAGCAGTGGGTGCAGTGTCCTGGGGTGGCCACTAGGCAGTGGATAGCAGTGAGGCTCACAGTCATAAACCGTTTTCATCCATGTGCCCAGCACTCCCGAGTGTGAGCAGCAGAGTCCCAGAACCTGGCCAACAGCCAGTGATCACACAGGAGGTGCTCCCTCTGGAGATGTTCACACAGAAGCCAGATTCCTGACACACAATAAGTAGCCACACCACAGAGGCCCTGGCTGCTGCAGACACACAGTAGGAGGTGCTCACAGAGAAAGTGCCCACACAACAGCTCACTTCCTGACACACAGTAGGTGTTCACCGACATCTAGGGCTTAGCGCACATGATGTGCTCATACAGCAGTCTATTTTCTGAAACACAGTAGGTTCTCACACAGCAGCCCAGGGCTGTGCACACAGTAGGCACTCACAGAGTTGATGCCCACACAGCAGCCCAGGACCTGACACACAGTGGGTGCTCACAGGTACTCAGGGCCAGGCCCACAGTAGATGCTCACAGAGTACATGTCCACATAGCAGCCCATGGCCTGACACACAGTGGGTGTCCACAGCCTGACACACAGTAGGTGCTCCTGGAAACCCAAGGCTTGACAGTAGGTGCCCACACAGCAGCCCAGACCCCAGCAAACAGATAGTAGATATTCAATAAGGAATGAGACACAGAGGCTGCCCCAGGGCTGACCTGTGGAAAGTCACATAGTGTATAAGGGGCCAGGAGGAGGGGAGGGCCAAGGAGCTTGGGAGGGGGCTGCAGGCTGCAAGCTGTCAGCACAGCAGTGTCCTGGCCTGGGCACTTCCCCCCTCCCATGGAAAGCAGCGGCTAGACCAAATCCAGAGCCTGGGACTGGCGCGTGGACAGCAGGGCTACAGAGAAAGGTGGGGCCAGGCCTCAGGAGGCAGAGGAGAGCTGAGGGTCCACCCCAAGGAGGGACAGGGGCCCGGGGAGGGGAAGGGCACTCACTATTCCAGCCGCCTTGGCCAGGTCGGGGTTGTTGGGTGCGAAGCTCCCACTGTGGCTGGTGGACACGGTGTTGGGCTTCTTGTTGCTCAGCCCCATGGCATCCATGGACTGGCTGCGGCTCCGGATGACCCGCTGTGAAGGGGGTGGCACAGGATTCCTAAGGACCGTCCCCTTGAGGAAACCCAGGAGCCCAAGCATCTGGTCCCTCCCCAGCAATCTGGTCCCTCTCACTCTGGGTGACCCCAGGAAATCCCTTCCCCTGGGTAAGTGGAGAGCAAGGCAGCAGAGAGAGGTGGGGCCAGGCCTCAATTTCCCTGTGCATCACACAGGAAGCAGGTCCAGATGGGGCCTAAGGGTAGCTGAGGTCTTGGCTCTGCCACCAACTTGCTGGGTGGCCTTGGGGACACCACTTCACTCCTCTCAGTGTCTGGGACCCACAGGCTGCTCTGCGCTGAGTGTCCTTGTGTGGCTGCCGTAAGGACTGCAGAAGATACCGGATAATGGCCAAAAGTGTACATGGAGAGCCCTCTCGACACCTGAGTTTCATTCCTGTTAGGGCCTCTTAGAGCTCTCCTGCCTTCTTTCCTTTCTCCCCACCCACCCTCCTTCCTTGTTTTTTTCAGACCAATCTATATATATGCTTGTTATGGGACCAGCACTTTACAATCACACAGTCACTAGATTTCCCCACAAGATGAGGACTAGCAATCATGCTCATTTCACACACAACGGAACTGAGGCAGAGGTGAGCCCAGCATGCCAGGTCCCATGCCCTCAACTCTGGACTCTGTTGCTTCTGAGAAATTCTTAGACCTAATCTAGGTCCTCCATCCAGCACCTACCAGATGCGGGATCAGAGCCCTCCTCAAAGGAGACACCCCAGGTCCATGTTCACCCCACCTGTCCTGTCTCCATGGGCAGAGGCAGGGCTATCTCCAAGCCTCTTTCTCAAAGATGGTCTGTTCACCTCAGTTCCTGGGCAGGCCTGGGCGGCTGGGCTACTTCTTTATTCCAATCCATAGCTCCAGCTGTGTGGCCTGCCCTGGGTTGAGGGTGAGGTCTGACCAGCCGGCTGGGCACCTGGAGGATGGGTAGTTTTCCTCCTGTGGATGGAGGAGACAGTGGCAAAGAGGCCACTACCTCGGCCCTGCAGCCTGGGCGAGTCTAGACCCTGTCCAAGGGAGAAAAGGAACTACTCCATTCCCCACACTTCTCACTTCAGACGACAGTTGCTGAGGCAGACAGGCAAGGTTTTGCATTTTGCTTTTAAACTTATATTGCACGAACATAATTGTTTTACAGATAACAATAACTGTATGAGGTAAGTTGCCATTACCCTACTCAACAGATAAAGAAACTGAGGCTCACAGAATGCCCAAGCTGGCAAGCAGGAGAGATGGGATTTGAAATGTCCGCGCTCTTAATGCTAAGCTAAACCAGGGCCAGGCAGGGTAGGTCACACAGACCAGGTCCCTCTGCAATGATCATGGTTCATATATCCCTTCTGAGACCTCTATTTCTTTCCTGCAGTCAAGACAGAGCCTCTTCCTCTCTTCTCTTCTCTGCTTGCTGACCTGGCATGGCAGCCTTTGTACCAGCAGCCCTCACTGTCTCCCAGAAGACCCCAACCTTTAGCAGGATTCCCAGGGGAATTCCCCACCTAGGCCCCACCTCCAATAGTTACTCCTCCCCAAGCCAGGGCCCCACCTTACACGCTGCTCCCTCAAACTCCACACAAGGCAGACTATGTCCATTTTGTAAGCCCATCCTAAAGCCCAAGTCCACCTCGAGCCCTGCCCTCGTCCCAGACTAGAGCCTCCTGTAGCCACATCCCCACGCTGTGTCCATTAGCTCCGGCCCCTGACTCCACCCCCAGCCACGTCCCCTCCCAGGCTCCACCCACAATGCGAGCAGCCTCTAGTCACAACTCCAGGCCATGTCAATCAGCCCCAGTCCGGGACTTCACCCCAGCCACGCCCCCTAGCAGACTCCGCCCCCAATGCGAAACACCTCTAGCCACACTCCCCAAGCTGTGTCAATCCCCCAATCCGGGACTCCACCCCCTCAACCGCACCAGTCTGCCAGACTCCACCCCCACGCCGTGTCCATCAGTCTGTCAGCCTCGGCCTGGAATCCCGCCCTGGCCGCGTCCCTGCTCCCCGGCCAGTTAGACCTTGGGCCCTTCACCTTGAAAGACTCAAAGAAGCCGCCACCCCCACTGCCATTCTCCATCTTGTCCTCGTCGCCGCCCAAGCCCATCATGGACTGGCTGTGGATGTGCAGTTCCTCATAGAGCGTCTCCAGGAGGGCGGCCCGCGTCCGCTCCTGTGGGTCAGGCCCGGGCCGTCAGGAGGGACCCCAGGGATCAGCCCCTCAGCCCACAGTTCAAATCCCGGCCACCTTCTGAGGCATGGACCACCTTCTGAGTGGGGAGTGGGGAGTGGGGAGTGCACCGTTCCCAGGCCACTTACTCCGCAGCTCAAGCAGCCCCCAGGGACCCTCATATGAAGGGCCCCTCACAGCCCCTTCGGGATCTGGCTGCATGTCCCCACTCCCCAGGTCCACCCCCAACCCAGACCCAAGGTGTCCCTGTCAGCCTGCCTGCCTCCCAGCACCTCCTGGGCACTCCCCACTATCCCTCCTGCTTTCTCTCCGCTGACCTCCTACTCAACTATCAAACCATCCTGCCTCAGGTGTCCCTTCTAAGGCCAAGGTCTGAACATGGCTTTTCCCTTCCCAGAGACAGGGCTGAAATTCTAGGTTGGAAGGTGAGAGAGGGTGACCCAGCCCTCATGGCCCATCCTCACCTCCAGTTTGGCAAACTTCTCTGCCTTGTAGCAGGCATATTCAGCATTGATCAGCTTTGTCAGCAAAAATTCCTGGAACTCAGGCCCCTGGAAACCCCCAGTGTGGAGGAGATGAGAAAGGAAGGATCAGAGAAACACAGAAATAAGAGACTGAACCCCAATAAGGCAGAGGCTGCAGCTCCTGAACCATGCTCTGCTAGGACCTGGGGTTACCCTCTTTACTCCCAAAAGGGCATCTCCCTGGGCTCAGCTCCCCAAGTACCTTCAAGGCACCCCAGTGCCCTTCATGGCTGCCCACCCCCTCAGAGAACAAACCCCACAGATGTTAGGTCTGGGTTGGGGTCCCCTACGGGCTCAGACTAGGGTAGCAGAACACTCTATGTACAGAGCTGAAGCTCAGGCTTGAAGTGTACCCCTCAGCAAACATTTTACAAGAAAGAAAACTGGAACTGTCAGAAAGAGAACAGAAATGAGGAAAGGCCAGTCTACTATGGAAAGTGTAAAACAATCGTGTAGTTTATTCTCTGGCCTTGTGAAAGAAAAAAAAAAGTGTTTTCAAGATGAACGAAAAAGCCAGGCCCCCCTTGCACAGTTAGGGGAGCCCAGCTGCCCTGGCACAAAATGCGGCTTTGGGACCTCATAAGGCCCCCACCCATTTTTTGTCACTCTGTCCATGACTGAGGGGCTGCCCCTTACCTTCCTGAACACAGCGGGGTCCGGGAGTGGGGGTCCGAAGAAGGGCACATCATCTCTTGCAGTGACAGAGACCTGGAAGGGAGGGCAGGTGTCTGTTCTGTGGAGTCTGGGGTCTGCTCTGCCCCACCCCAGCCAGAAACCCCTACTTTGCCTCCCTGGCCTGCCCCTTGGCTGGGGAGGCTCAGTGATTGGGTGCTGGATGAATCTTTCTTCCAAGGATTTCTGCTCCTCTAAGTTTTGCCTTGAATTTTACTGGTAGGGAGGGGTGGGGACTCAGGAATCATTGGGGATGGTGAAGGCAGAGGAGGCTACGGGAGGTAGAGGACAGTGATAACAGGCCAGGAGGTGGAGAAGGGAAACTGACCTCTCTGAGGGGGTGAGCTTTGGGTAAGAGAGAGGGCATGGTATGAACAGGGCACCATCGGAACCTTCCACAGTCCCTCCCCCGTTACAGCCGGAAAAAGAGGCTCAGAAGGGCATCCCAGGGAGGGCAGAGCTGCAGCCAGGGCCCTTGCTGATGCCCCTGGGAGGCTCCAGGAGGACCCACCTTGTAGAGGGGGCCATCAGGGCCCCCACCCTCAGCCTGCACCACTACATAGGCATGCAGGAAGTTGGATGCAATCATGTCGGGCACAAAAGGCGTGTTCTCATCCTGGAAGACCACAGCCACGATGTCATTGCCGATGTGCCGCTTCCGCTGCAACTGAGCACAAGGCCACGGCCTTTCACGGTCTGGCCAGAGAGGGGCCAGCTGGGGAGGGGGTGCCCACAGGGGTTTAGGAGGGTTTGGGGTAGGCAGAGGGCACTTCTAAGGATTTACTTTCCCCAAAATAATGTAGCAAAAAACCTGTCTTAAAATTACTTTCGTTGAAAAATGGGCTGTTTGGAACAATGTACACTATTCAGGGGACGAGGGTACACTAATATCCCAGACCTCACCACAACCCAATCCATCCATGTAATCAAAAACCACTTGTCCCTGTACATCTATTGAAATTACAGGGAAAACGATTTCAGTTTTCTTGGAGTGCTGTGACAGATAACGAAACCAAGGCCTAGAGCGAAGTGACTTGCCAGGTGCTATAATGAGCTTCTGATAAATGACTAGAGCCCAGGTCTCTTGGCCCCCAGACCTTACCTATCAGCCCTTCTCCTATCTCCATGCCCCAAACATGACCCCCGATTGAAAAAACAAGCACTATGTGGTATATATTCATGTTGCTAAAATGAACACAGGCCCTTAGTAAAAGAAAGTGAAAAGACACTACAAATAAGGAATAACTATTTCCATTTTTCTCACATTACCCTTTTATCCCCTGGGCTGGGACCTGAGGTCAGGCAGAGAGCCCTGTAGGAGGCTCAGGACAGGGGGATAAACTTCTGAGTTCAGTTCCCAGAACATGCCCTGCTCTTCCTCGACTCCAGGCCTTTGCAGAAGCTGTTCTCTCCACCTGGAACATCTCCCTTCCTTCTTCCAGCTCCTTCACAGCCTAAAAGTCACTTTCTCTTAAAAGCTTTTCCTGATTCCCACTTCTCCCAAGACTAAGTGTCCCCACATGACCCAATGAGGCTCTCCACTCCCCATAAAACACCAGTTCAGATCTGCGGAGCTCTTGCAATGTACCAGGCACTGTTCTACTGTCCCTATGCACCCACGAATTTATGCTCACCTAGGAGGTAGGTGCCATTCTGACTTAGAAACCAAGGCTTTCCCAGCATTGAAGCAGCCTGTCTCCCCTGACCCAACTAGAGCCCACAAGTCGGGGGACTGAATCATTTCCATCTCTGTGTCCCACACAAGTTGGGGGACTGAATCATTTCCATCTCTGTGTCCCAGAGCCCAGTGCTGGGCCTGGTGTGATGGAGGCTGAATGGACAGGTAGAGAGGGAGGACAGGTGGAAGGTGGGAAGCAGGTGGGGGTGCCCAGGCTACCTGCTGGGCGTCCCCTTCTGTGTAGGGCAGCTTGGTGGACACGTGAAACATGATCTCCTTGTTGCGGAAGTTGCAGTACACAGATTCGGTCCCCGTCTGCCCGTGGGTCACGTCCAGGCCTCCTCGGAACCTGCCCCCGGGCCCCCCAGGCCACGGCTCAGTCTCCAGCCCCAGCCAGGCCTCCACAGGGCCAGGACAGGGGCTCCCTCCCTGCACAGGAGCACAGGTCAGATTACACTCTGCTCAGTCCACCCTAATACTCACCCCTTAAAGTCCTGCAGTTTGACCTTCTGGCCAAGAAATTCAAGGAACTCCACGAAGGCAGGGCTCTCCTCATTGGTGCTGAAGAGTTCTTCCTCAGAGGTCTGGGGATGAGCGGCCAGGGTCATGGAGGTGGAGTTCCTGAGAAGCCCCTGCCCCCTGTCCCTACTCAGACCCAGAGAGGGCAGGAGGGAGGACCTCTGGCAGACCCTGGGCTCCTGAGTCCCTTGGACGATGTGCTCCCCTGGAAAAGGTCTGAGATACGGGAGCGGGTGGGGAGGGAAGGCAGGAGGTTAGCACACCTGCCCAAGCTTCTGATAAATGACGCCAAACTTGAAGTTATTGCTGATGACGTGCTCGTCAAAGGTGACGATGAGCCGGGAAGCCTGCGGGAGAGGACGCCGGGTGAAGAGACTGTGTGTGCAAGCTGCCGTTCTGCACGCCCTTCCCCCGTGCCAAGCACTGAGCCAGGCGCTCTACACGCATTACATCATGTAATTCTCATTCCAGCCGTCCCCTCTGAGCCTTGGGTTCGGAGAGCTTAAGTGACTCCCCTAGGGTCAATGGCTTGCAAGTGCGTGCAGGCTTGGGATTTGACCCCAGGTCTGCTGGATTCCAAAGCTTAAGCTGATGGCTCCTGAGTTTTGCCGTGAGCCCCGCTCCTGCCATGGCCAAGCCCGCCCTCAGTGCACTCTAACTCCCAACACAGTCCTTTGCTCCTCTGTAAACCCACATCATCTTTCCAGAACAGGCTACGTCCCGCCAATTTGCTGTCGGCATTAAGCAAGTTCTCCTCCTCACCTTAGGCCTCAGTTTCCTCACCCATAAGCAGGAGGTGGGCCCTGATTTCTGAAGCCCCTTCAGGATACCTTTCCTGGACCACATCTCATACTTTAGAGACCTCACACTGCTCCAGAATTCGGGCAGGGGCACAAGGGTTTACCTGCCTGTCCTCTTCCAGGACACGCCCCGGCTCATCCAAGGCAGAAGCTCCTGCCCGATCCCCACACTGTCCCAGTGCCTGGAACCCAGCTCCCAGCCCCCAAGCAGAAGGCACCGGGGCTATTCTCTCTCTGCAGGTCTCCTCTGGGATACGAAGGCAAGGCCAGTCGAAAAGACACTGGTCCCAGGGGAGGACTGCAGCACAGATTGCTCTCAGGAGGGTCCCCAAACATCACAGGCCGGTCTCGAAGGCAGACAAACCTAGGCTTAAACGCAGGCCCTCCTGATCTGCTGTGCACCCTTGGGTAAGGCACAGACCCTTTCTGTGGCTCCTCTTCTGCATATTGTGAACTTCACAGGGTTACTGTGAAGATTAAGTGACAGAACCTGGGGACAGTACCTGGCACACAGAAGGTGCTTAATAAACACTCAGTCCTCTAGTCACTCATCCACCCTCAGTGAGCTATGCCCAGATCCAGCCGTACCTTGGGGTAGAGCACAGGATAGAATCGATCCACGTTGACATCTTCACACACCAGCTGCAGGAGGAGATAAGGGAGGGGCGTGAGGTGTGGGGCCAGGGAGGAGAGGACGGCGTGCCTGGACCTCCCTGGCCAAAGTCTGGGAAGAAGTCATGTTGGGGCTGGCCAAGGCTGAAGCAGGACTCCGAGGTCACTGCTGCTCAGGGAATGGAGGTCTCCTGAGATCTGAGGGTGCTAGAGAGAAAACCAAAAGCACACAGGCAGGGGATGCGGGTGCAGGAGAACACATGGCAACCTGAGACATGGTGGGAACACTCGAGAGACGGGGCCTCAGGATAGGGCGGCAGCTCAGGGCTGGGGCCTGCAGCTGGAGGGGCATGCCGAGGCAGAGCTGAAGCCCAGCAAGTGCTGAGCAGGGGCTGACCGGGAAGCTCAGGGGAGTGGGGGCCTCACCTTTGCCATCTGGACAACATTAGGGAATTCGGTGAGGCAGGAGATGGGGATGACATCATGGTATGTCCGGCACTTGGTCCTGGGAAGAAAAAGTCACATGGTGAAGGCCTGGGCAGCGGGACAGGAAAATGGGAACCCCACGCCTGGCAAAGTAAGGCCACAAAGGGGTGGACCATAGCGCGGACCAGAGGTGACGACGGGTGCCAGGCTGGCTCGGGCACTAACTTGCTGTGTAACCTCAGGCAAATCCCTGCCCCTCTCTGGGCCTTGATGAAGACAGTGGGTCAAATGAGACGGGCTCTCAGATTCTAAGGCCTCAGCCCTTCCTGCCGTCTCAGGACTCCCCCACCACCCTCACCTGAGCAGCAGCCGCAGGTGCTCTTGGTCCCCGATGACATCGTACTTGAGTGAGAAGACAAGGTGGCCGAGGGCAGTGTCCAGTGAGTAGTAATTGAAATGCTCCTGCGGTGGGAGGTGGGGGCCAGGGGAGTGGGTGAGGCTGAGCAGGGGCTTCCAGAAACCAGGCCAGAAAGCCAGCCCACTCCCAGATGGGGGTCCTTTGCCCACAGCAGGTGTCACGGCTGATAGCAGACCCCACATCAGACAGAACTGCACTCAAAGCCCCATTCTGCCACTGACCAGCTGGGCAGCCTGAGGAGGTCACTTGGCCTCTCTGTGCCTCGCTTTCCTAGTCTGCCAAATGGGAGGGAACCCAGTTATTTGGTGGTGGCCAGGACAGAAAGGGATGAAGTGCCTGGCTCAGCCTTGGTGTTCAGTGAAGGTGGGTGGTAACACCGGGTCTCTGGGTGCTCACTGAGTCAGGACCACATTCAGACCTGCATGCCTGTCTTCAGCCCGGGCCCTTCTCAGGGCTGAGTACCCAGCAGGTGCTCAATGAGCAAAAGCTGATTGCCCAACCTGTGACTCTGTGGTCCCTGAAGCCAGGGCCCATGAGAAACAGGAAGCGAAACATCCCATAACACACAGGGCAGCTGGCCAGGCAGGTTTCCACCCTCCTGTCTCACCTGGAGAAGAGGGCACAGCGTTGGAAAGACACACTCTGGAGGGTATCAGGGGTGGCTGCGGCAGGGAAGGCACCCCCAGAGAGAAGCCTGGGGCTGGCACCTTGGGTGGGGAAGTTCCAAAGCCGAGGGCTGGGAGTTCAGGGAGACACCACCCAGCCTAGCCCTGGGCTCCCCCTGCCAACCCCAGCCCCAGCTCTTGCCCAAGCCTTAGGAGTGGAGCTGGCTGGCCACACCTGCCCCAGGAATCATCCTAGATGTAAATCCTGTTCAAACATGAACACCTGCACTCAGAGGCCAGGAGCAGATAGAGGCAGGGGCCAGTGGATGTGCCCCACGAATCCGAAGCTCAGGGGCATTCTCAATGGACCTGGCACAGAGTCCCCCCAGCCCTGCCTGGGCAGAGTGTCAGAGACCCCCAAATGCTTGACATCATCCAGCAGAGAGGGAGTGGCAGGCACTTGATAAGGAGTCACTTGGCAGGGAAGTCCAGGGAGTGGGGAGTTTTCCTGGACAACCCCAAGCCCAGAGGAGCTCCAGGGACACAGTGGGACAGTGGGCTCAGGGTCCCCGGAAGTCAATGCCCAAAGTCACCCTAATCTCCCCCTCTGCCAGGATAGGTCCCAGCGCCTGAGCACCTGGCTGCTTCTCCCTTACCACCTAGAGTCAGGAAGCGGCCCTGCCTCTCTGCCAGCCCTGGGGCTGCTCCCCTCAGTACTGCTAATCTGATCCTGGACATGAGGCCTCCTCTTTTTTTTTTGAGATGGAGTCTCACTCTGTTGCCCAGGTTGGAGTGCAGTGGTGCCATCTCGGCTCACTGCAACCTCTGCCTCCTAGGTTCAAGCGATTCTCCTCCCTCAGCCTCCAAAATAGCTGGGATTACAGGCACCCACCACCACACCTGGCTAATTTTTGTATTTTTAGTAGAGGTGGGGTTTTGCCATGTTGCCCAAGCTGGTCTTGAACTCCTGACCTCAAGTGATCTGCCTGCCTTGGCCTCCCAAAGGGCTGGAATTATAGGTATAAGCCATGGCACCCGGCTGCCTCTTCTGACCCTCCAGCCTGCACCTCTTCAGATTCTACCGCACTCAAGGTCCACTACCTTCATCTGTCACTCGTTACTCTTTCAACCAACTTTTCTGAGTGCCAACCATGTGCTTGGCATACATGGTATCCTTAGATCCCACCACCTGCCAGATCCAGCTGGGAGCCTCTGGCCAGAAGGTGCCTAGGATGCAGGTCTCTCTCCACCTCTAGGGCTCAGCTGGGAAGTGGAATTCCATGCTGGCTTCTGGGTTTGTTCCTAGGCAAAGGCTCCCGAACCTGGGCTCGTTGGTTTAGTCCCAGTCACAATGGATACTCTCCAGTGTCTCCCAGAGTCAGGCCAATGCCCAGGCCCAGACTGAGGTCACACAGCTTCCCAATCCCCAAGGAGTCATCCCCTCTTCCCAACACACGCGCGCGTGCACACACACACACACACGCACACATACTCGCACAGTGGCTAGGAGCATGACCTCTCCCGTGCATCTTAATGGAAGGTCAGCCAAAGCTGGTTCAGTTCCAGGCTCAGTAATTGTACAACCTTGACTAAATCATTACCTATCTGAGCTTCAGTTTCCTCTTCTGTAAAAACAGAATAATCCTGATATCACCAAGTCATTATGAAGATGTGAAAACAGCTAATGTTAACTGAGTATTTACCATGTGCCAGGTGTGGTTCTAGAAGCTTTGCGTGTACTTTTATTATCCCTGTTTTCACAGATGAGGAAGTTAAATAACTTGCCCAAGGTCACACTGTCAGTTAATAGAAGAGCCAAGATTCCCACACATGCCGCAAGGCTCCAGAGCCCATGACACACTTCCCAGTTGTGGCTGTGTGCTGAGACGGCACCCAGCATGCGACCTGACACATGTTCCTGGCATGGGACCTCCCCTTGGGCTCCCACAACACTCAGACAAGTTGTTGCTGGGCAGGGTCCCTGCTCTGTGCTGCTGGTGGGGCAGGGGTGCATCAATCCACGACGTTACTGTTCCCCTAACTCCAAGCTGCCTGAAAGGAGGCCCTGGGTCTATTGTGCTGGCTGCTGTATACCTGGTGCATAGAACAGGTGCCAGGCACACAGCTGGTGCTCATTATTTGCTACCCCTGACTGAGCGCTTCCTTTGTCCCAGATGCCACTGTAAAGACCTTACAGATATCAGCTCACTGCAACCTCACAAGGTGGGTATCATTACCACCAAGCACCATTTTCACAGATTAGGAAACTGAGGCACAGAGAAGTTAAGCGATTTGCCTGATGTCCTGGGTAGTGGGTGGCAGAGCCAGGATTCAAGCCCTGGTAGAGTCTACTGTGAACCACTATGCCATACTGCTGCCTTTGCAATCAACGTTTCTTGGGTGAAAAGTGACTCCACCGTGCGTGCTCCCTGGGGGAGTGGGGTGTGCATGGTGGGAGCACGTTCACTCGGGGCTCTGGGGCTGTCACCCAGTCCTGGCCCATGGGTTCTGCTCCCTCCCAGGCCCAGCCTTGAATGGGGCTGAACTGTGACCCACCCAGCCAGTCCCGCTGCACCAGCCAGCCACCCACCTTGCCGAGAAAGTGTTTCCGGTAGATGCGGGCTGTGGGGTTGCACTCGAGCTTCATCTTGGTCGTGGGCGACTGCAGCGGCTCCGTCTCAGGGATGCTGGTGATTTCGTGGTTAGTGCCTTCAATCCAGTAGCCCCCAAACTGGGGCAGCAGGATGAGGGGGAAGGGCCCTTCTCGCCCCAAGACCTGAAGAGGGACTCAACTGAGAGCCACCCCAGATTGTATCCCACTGGGGGCCCCAGGACACCCTCCCAACTCAGATCTGGAGCCACTTCTGTCGTGGCTAAGGGGTGGGAGGGGATGGGCCAGAGCCTATGTGGGCTTCAGGGCTCTGCTCCAGTCCATTCCCTCAGCCAGACCCAGACAGTGCCAAGACCCAAGTCTCCAAGGTGGGATTTGGGGGCAGGTAGAGCCAGAGCATGACCTTGGCCCAGGAAGCTGGAACATTTGGCTCAGAAGGCCCAAGGGTTCAAATGGGCTCTGAAACCTTGGACCTGGAAACCAGGTCTCCAGCCAACAGCAAGGTCTGTGGGTCAGGCTCCTGAGGAGGTGGACCTGGTGTCCAGAAGCCCCGTGTGAGTGCCTCCTGGGTAAGGATGAGCTCGGGGATCTGGCCGAGTACCTCATGCACACTCGGGTAGGGAATGTAGTCCTCTTCTGTCTGCAAAACACAAGCAGGCCAAGGGTCTTTGCATCGATCTGCCCTCCAGCCTCCCCAGAGCTCCCCTCTGCTTGGCCAGCCTCAGGGCTGGGAGTGTGGGTAGGGCCCTGGACTCATCACCTCTTACAGATGGGCAGGGGCTGAGGCAGGCTTAGCGTGCTGAGCACTGGCATCTTCTGGGGCTCTCCTTGTCTGGGGAAAGGAGGGCTCACTGCCTCCCCAGAAGGAACCGCTGGACTACCTGGAGGGCTTGTTAAACACGGGTTGCTCCACCCTACCCCCAGAGCTTTGGATGCAGCGGTCTGGGTGGGGTCTGAGAATGTCCATTTCTCACAGGCTCCCAGGTGGCACTGATGCTGCTGGTGTGAGGACCTCTGCCCCGAAGAGAGTATCAGGCTTACTGCCCATGCACCCCCCTCTAACCCTGCCCTGCAGCCCTGGGCCCACTCCACCAGACCTGGACTTCTAGGTTCTCTGGGGTCCCAAGTCACCAAGAACCACATGCTAAGAAAACTGGGTCAAAAATAAGGGCCTCCCCTTCATCTCCCTGGGTCTCCCACCTCCAGTCAGTCTCCTCACCAATGGCTGGGGGGCCCCCAGACCTGCCTCCCCATCACTCCCTCCCCATCCAGACAGGAGCTTCACAGAGCAGGAGCTCATAAGCCTCCTAGGACCTGAGCTGGAGTCCTTCTGCAACTGCTCGTCATCACTGGTTTCAGGGAAAACATTTGGCAGCAGCTGTCTTTGAGAGAGGAGGGCTTCGACTTTGGGGTGGGGATGCCCGGAGAGGCAGGGAGGTCTGCAGTGGTGAAGGTGGAAAGGAGGAGCTAGAATAGAGGCCCCAGGCATCTAGCAAGGAAGGGAGGGGTTCTCCCCATCAAGAACTCCTAGAGGGCAGGGGCTGGGTCTACCCTGCTAGTGGCTGTGCCCCCGCTCCCACACCTGGCACACTGTAAGACTACTTCCTGAAAGGGGATAGATTCCTGCTTGATGAGCAGTGGTGGCAGCACTTCCCGGATCCCCTCCACCCCCTAGACAGGGAGGCAGACTGCCAGGCCCACCTACTTTGAGGGGCGGCGGGAAGGAGCAGCGTTGTTCATCCATCCTGCTTCCCTGTAAGAGAAGGCAGCACCGGTCTACCCTCCCAGGCCCACCGCCAGGCGCTGCCTCCCCTCCCTAAGGCATGCAAGGGGAAAGCCCTAGGAGGCGGCCCTCAGAGGTGGGGGTACTCTCAGGGCAGGGTGCTAGCTGGCTGGGGGCCCTGGGCCTCTCTGAAGGGCTGGCTGTCCCAGTAGTGACCAGAGCTGGTGCCTGGCAGCCTTGAGGACGGCTGAGGGCTCTGTGCAGGAATGCATGTGCCGCTGGGAGTGGGGGCAGGGGAGATGCACACGCCTGTGTGTGAGTTGGCAGGGGGGTTTATCTACACAGATATGTGAGGGAGAGGAGGGGAGGGAGAGGCAAAGGCAAGACAGAAAGAGAAACAGGAGGCATCGGAGTTTAGAGGGTGTTCAAGTCATCCCACCTCCCGTACCTCCTGCCCCACTCCCAGTGCATACCTATGTGAAAAGCAGATGGGCCTGCGGGGTGGAGGATATGGGGGTAATACCTCCCCCTCCTGCAGCACAGTCTCCGGCTGACAGGCCCCTGGCATCTGTCCCCTCCTCCAGTTCCATTCCACCTGGGCCCCCCACCACAAAGCCTGTGAAGTCTCTCATTGGGTGAGGGGCAGTGTGTCTGTGGGGTGGGTTGATGAACTGACTGCAGCCCTGTTGCAGTTCTACATGGGGATGGGAGCTGGGAGCCTACATGGACCCTGGGGTCACAGAGAGGTTGGATCTACCAGCCCCCACCCTCTACCCTGACCTCCAGACAGAGGACCCTGGACAACCAGGGGCCACCACCTTCTGCTGGCATGGCTTGTCCTCAGAGAAGTGAAGGGCTGGAGACGCAGCAAGGGCCCCTGGCCCCAGCCCAGCCAGCTCTGTGGCTTCCCAGAACAGGCCACAGACCCATCCTCACCTGCATCTTTTCAATCATCTCAAATAAATCTGTGTTCTGCAACAGAGACAGGGGAGAGGAGGTCAGCTGATCCCACCAAGCCCCGGAGGAGCCTCCCCCCGCCCCAGTCCTCCGGGTCCCACCAACACTGACCAGCGACCGAGGCACCTGTCTAAGCAGCAAGCAGGAGTGGCGGGAGCATTGTAGGAGGGGGCTCTGTGTGGGAGACCCATGTAGTCTGGCCAACTGTCAAGTGAGGTGAGCCCAGAGCCCAGGGCCCACGGCCAGGGCAACCCACCTACTCAGTCCTATCCCCTGAAGGGCTATTACCCTTGGGGAGAGATGGATCACCCCAAGTCCCAGCTGCAGAGATAAGCCTGTCCTGGATCCCCAGGAGGGGTCTGTGCTTCTTCCCACCTCTCCTGGAAGGGGTCAAGGCTCAGTCAGCCAGGCCACAGTCCACTGCTCAGACAGCCCACTCGTCTCCAAGCAGAGTGAGCTGGGGCTGCTTCAGGAGAGAGGACACTGAGATGCTGATCGCCCCAGCACCTGTGCGTGAGCCACATGAACCCTCGGATGCTCGAGCCAGCCTCTCCGGAGGTGAGCCAGGGCACACGCAGAGTTAATCTGGCATCTGCCAGCTGCGCTTGGCAGCTCTGGCCTCTCCAGTGCCAACTCCCTATGAGCCTTCCTGGAGGGCGGCATCCCTGCCGGCTGGCCCAGCTGGAGGCTGGGCCTGGGAAGCCCCCAGAGCCTCCAGGATGGTGACCCTCCCTCTTGCCCCTCCAAGGCTCAACTCAGGCTGCTCCTGCTGACACATGTGCTAAGAAGTTGTGCACCAGGAAACACGCACGTCTCTCTGTCTCTGTCTTTCTCCGTCTCTCTCCCTCCCCTCCTGCTCACACACACAGACGGCTGCACCAATATTTAAAGTCCCACTGCACCATGCATATGTTTCATGTACCAAGAAAATAACACACACAAACACATACGATGGGGACTGTGCACAGTGATTCTTCGAGCTATACACTAACACACAAAGATACACATTGGTGTTCTGAGTTACATTACACAGGAGCACACCCACTCACACACATGCAGGTCCAAATACCAGGAGAGACACACACACAAATGCGAACCCACACCTGTGTGGGTCTACACACCAGTAACTGCACACAAAGCTACACTAACACCACAAACCACTCTCACGTGTGAGAGAAAGCAAGAGGCCTGACAACACGCACCCACAGAGGCAGGCGGGTGTGTCCAGGGAGACCCAGACTCAGCCTCACTCATGGCTCCAAGCCCTCCCTCCCCTAGCAGGGTCACAGAACCACAACAGTAAATGAGACTCAAAAGGTATCCAGCAACTGCCGGGGAAGATAATCCCCCAGGATGCGGGGCATGGTCTGAAGCTCACTCAGCCTCACCTGCACACACACAGAGCCCTGGGAAAGGTCACCACATACAAGCACGGAAAAATGTGTGCATTCTGAGGCCTGCCCAGAGAGGCAAGATCCACCTTGTAAAACCCACCGCAGGAGGCCATGGGACACCCTGATGATCCATGGTCACCTATGGTCACACCCAACACTCTGCATTTGGAAGAAACAATTCCACAGGCAGTTACAGCAGAAACCACAGCCACACACACCTGAAGTCCAGGCAGACAAACATGCCTGTCAATACAACACGCTGTATGACAGCAACTCTGGCTTCTGTGCCCAGGTCAGCCACACAACCTCAGCTCGGCACAGTCCCCAAGAGTCATGTTGATGAGGGGTGCATTAATGTCCCCCATTAAGACATCCCACTCGGCCGGGCGCGGTGGCTCACGCCTGTAATCCCAGCACTTTGGGAGGCCGAGGCGGGTGGATCACGAGGTCAAGAGATCGAGACCATCCTGGTCAACATGGTGAAACCCGTCTCTACTACAACTACAAAAAAT